AAAATTGATCCAGATTTGATTGAGATATGGTATTTTGGCCCCTCGTACGTGTCGCCCACTGTCAATCATTTCTCGAAATGCGTCGTGGCTCTCCCATGCCGAATCCTCGAGCTTGACGAGGGAATCGACTCGCCGCCGGACGACTTCCATGTGAAGGTACATCTCGTCTGCCTTGACGTGCATTTGAACCGCGGGCACAGCACTGGCGGGCGTGCAAAGTCGTGGCCGGAGGGGGTCAACTTGTACATGAATCATGTCGTCGGTAATGCCGACGACGAGTTCAGCGGCTTGCAGTTTGTTTTTGGGCGGCGACGATGTTTTCTTGTCGGTGGCCTTTGCCTGAGCCTCCATGGCCGCCGCCTGGCGATCTCGCGCCTCTTTCACGAGCCGTTTGCGCTCGGCTTCCACTTGCGCATCGTACTCTGCCTGGACCATGGCGTGTTCCGAGTCAATGTGCCGGCGGATACTGGTCTGAAGCTGGTGGCTTAGCGTTTGGAGCCGCAAGTTCGACGCAGCCACGTCTTTCTCCAAATTTGCAAGCACAGCTTGCTCTTTTTGAACTTGGCCGCGCAGTTCGATCGGGTCGAGCGGTGCGTCGGCTTCGCTGTCGCTTGGCTCGCCCATGGACTCCCTTGCCGACCTTATAGATTGGCCGTCTGTTATCGCCGCGCCATGCAGTTGGGCAGTTGTCGGTACGTCTTCGAGAGTGAGCTGCACTCCTGGCTTCCACCTGCCCTCGGCGATGTCCCATCCAGTCGGAGCCACGTACTGCATCGCAGGAGGCGGTTCCCAGCAGCTCTCTCCCGTCACTGAGTTGTAATAGTAGTCGTTCACAATGGACCACTGGCTTGCAATCGCCAGTCGTTCCTTGACGAGACGTCCTTGCTCGAGCAGCCGCAGTTGCATCGATGCTTCCTTCGCGATGGCTTCCTTGTCCTCGAACGACTCGGCGTGCTTCATGAACGGCCGCAAGATCGTCGGTGGTACGACGGCAAAGTCAGGCCATACGTCTGCTATCCACTCCTTCTCGCTGCGCCGGTCTTCCTTCTCTTTCGTCCACTTTTGAAGCAACGTCTTGCATTTAGCGGCACTCTCTCGCAGCTGTGCGTCCAGCGACGCGATCGCCTCATGCTGCTGCCTTGCCCACACCTTCATCTGAGGTAGCTTCTCGCGGGCCACATCGACACGAGCCTGCATGCGGTCCAGGCGCGTGTCGCACTCAGCTTGAAAGGATTGACACATCTCTTCCATCGTAGCAACGGCGGTCTCCATGAGCGTGAGTGGAGGGTCGTCCCCATCGCGTGGAGACTCCTCCACTTCATGTCCTTGAGATGCTTCTTGTATTAGCGCCATGGACTTGACCGCAATCGCGCTCGCGTTGTTGGACTCATCTCCGTCGTCCATGAATCGCGCGGCGCAATTGAAGTGTCGCTTCACTAGCGCATAATCGGTGTATCATTCCGACACGATCTGGTCAAATCAAGTTTTTTGCCAAAAATTCCTCTAATATCCTTCAACAGCACTGGAGAAAATGTATTCATGTAAGCTATCAAAGTTTAGAGTGACACATTTTTCCAGTCAAATTTTAATCAAAATTTGTATCAGAAACACTTTTTCTTGGATCCACGAAATTGACACCCTCGGAGTTTCTCCAATTCACGTGGCCTAATATTTTCATTGATTTCGCTCAAATTAAAATATATTCTTTCGGCCAGGGTTGGGTGACTGTCCGAAGGGTCATGGGCTGCTACATCTAAACACAACAACACCTTGACGTGCATGACGATGACAGCGCAAAATCTTCGCATCCGAGAGGGTGTAATCTAAGACAGCGAACTCCATCCGCCACTGAGGGTTCATGCGCCAGCAGTACGAAGAGAAGAAGCGCAAATTGGAACCAGAAAATAAACGTTTGACGCTCGAAACAGCCGCCGGTGCCGCCCAAAGAATTGTCCCTTGCCGCGTCGAATCCAACGTCGAATATGCACATGACGGTAGAATGGTACGTGTACCTGTATCTTGTGTGATAAAAGTGCATGGTTGCTTTCAGAATGAACCAGTTCGGGCTGGCGCGGCCTTGCCATCGTCGGGAACGACCAGTGTTGCGTTGATCATGTCCATCGAGATGAAACATAATCTCCGCCCGAGGTTGCCTCTGCACAGTGCAGAAGGGGCTGCTCGATTGCGTCGAGTTGTGATCTTCTCAGCGGTCGTGTTGGTGGTGGATTGCTCTAAGAAGAATCGCGTTCGTCGACTGCATTTGTTGGTGAATGGCGTCGAAAAGGCCGTGTGGCCAAGAGTATCGACGACGTGCTGGAAAACAACCACACACAAGCTTGGGAAATTTTTGGTGGCTCTGCATACATCGTAAAACAATGCTAACCGCATATAACAATAACTAACACTTCTGTGACCATTTTAGATGCCTAAAGGCCAGCTACACTCTGCCGAAGACCGTGGATCGATCTTGGCGTTTCAGAAGGCCGGGTGGTCCCTTCGCTAGATTGCCAAAGAGTTGGGCATCTCTATGGCACCGCCTTGCGAGGTGGAAGAAACAACAAATTCAGCGTGCGTGACCATAGACGCCTTCTCTGTTCGGCGTCCCAAGGCGATTCAAGTGCCGCGCGGCAACTGCATAATCTCGAACTGAACGTATCGGCACGAACTGTCCGTCGAATTTTGACAAAAACCTCTTTCTCAAGTACAAGAAACACAAGGCCGCCCCACGACTCACTGCAACTCACAAGCATGCAAGGCTCGAGTAGGCAAAGAACCACATTGACCTTGAATTGGGGTGGAACCAAATCGTCTTTTCGGACGAGAAAAAGATCAATCTGGACGGTCCAGATGGACTCCAGTATTATTGACTTGATATACGTAGGGAGGAGTAAGCGTGTATGAGCCGCCAAAATGGTGGAGGAAGTGTCATGATTTGGACCGGCATTTCAAGTCAAGGAAAGACTCAGACTACTGTGCTGGAGGGCCGGCATGATTCCTTTGCGTATTGCGACACAATCTCCAACTACCTCATGTCCTTCGTGCACGAATTCCATCCGGATGGATTCGTTTTTCAACAAGACAATGCCAGCATACACACCAGCCGCGAGACCAAGGCCTTCTTGGCTGACCTCGGTGTCCCTTTGTTGCCCTGGCCTGCCCTCTCACCAGACCATAGAAAACGATTGGGGAGTTTTGGTCCGTAAAGTGTATGCGGATGAGCAGTAATATCGAGCGTGTTCAAGATCTAAAATACGAAAATTTACGGCAGTGGGCG